CCCCTCTCGCGGCCAAACATTTCTACAGCGTCAGGCTCGTGTCTTGCATTACATAAGCTCGCGATAAATTGCCAAGTCTTCTGGTTAAATTGTACAACAAAGAAATTCGCACAGGATGTTTATCATTGATGTCGGAAGCTACACTGATAGATTATTGTTAATGAATGGATTTTGGTTGGGGGTTAGGGAACATTCGGTCCCACCAAATGTTCGTTCGTTAACTATTAACGAATTCTCATTTGGTCATATTCAACTCTACCATTCGTTAATAGTTAACGAATCTCGTTTGGAATAAATGAATCATTCTATCAGAGTACGAAAGAAATGAAGACGATAAACTTGGGAAATTTTTTGGTCAGTTGGGTACGGATTATCGTCAGTATTCATTTTCGAAATTGTTCAACGGGATTTTTTTTATCGCGATAGTGACATCGGGTTTCCATGAATGTGGGTATGAATATTTTATCGCGGAGGCAGTTCAACGTCTTTTTCTTTTTGGTTTCTTGTGTCGCGACGCTATGCGATATCAGTTGTAGTTGATTTTTGTTTCTACAGGCTATTTCGGATAATGGTAATGGTTCGGGAGAATGAGAGCTTTGATTTTCGGGAAATTGTTATTAATTATTGGGATTGGCGGTTGTGAAATTCAGTGGTTTTGGCGCTAATTTTTAGTGACGTTGTCAACAATTTGTTGGGACGTATTCGGTAATGTGGAGGGACGTCACTAATTTTCAGAGTAATATCCCTGATTCACTAGCTCCATGAATTGTGTTTATATTTTAGCGTGCACGGAGAGAAATATTCAATAAAAATTACGTATCTTTTCCGTAATTCCGGAGCACTTAAAAAAAACTGAAATTCTTAAATCGAAAAATGATAGTTCTCTCTTGACATCTAGAATATTTAGGCCAAAAATCTTATGCGTGTTAACTGTCAATGAACACGTTTCTTGACGCAAATGTCTCCGGTGCGGTCTACGAACCTCCCAAACCCCAAATTTTCCAAACAAGTAAATTACGTACTTGACAGGCATTAACTAACCATTAATTTGGCCATACATCAACAACCCTCATTACCATGAGACGTTGGGTTATCGTCTCAAAACAACAATAGAATATGGAAATTGAAGGGCCAATTCAAACGTAAATACAAAAAAAAATACACGGAATTCCATTCAAAGTAGTTGATTGCACCCCTAAAATTGTGTCCGGAGACCTCAACTTCATTCTTTGATGGATACTCCATACAATGTGGGATTCCTGGTAGCCACTCATCGTTTCATTGAAACCGCATGAAAAGAAATACAGTAGCAGATCGTGGGTAGAAACAGGCGGTGAATTTTTGCAGATCAATAAAATGAATGGAATATACTTCAGAAGAGACTATAACTCAGTCACGCAAAAGATACTTTCAGACATTGTGGTGACAGTGAGGAATAGTAATTTTTAGAATTGCTTTTCAACAGTATGAGGTGAATTTCACCTGGAACTGGCGTAATTACAATGATTATCAGAGCAACAGGACAGGATAGTGTAACGGTAGCAATTGATGGATAATTCAATTTAACAGAATGTTTTGTATCAAGTTGTTGGATGCAATTAATTGAAGCACATTATGCAGTTGGCAGCGGCTAAACGATTTATAATGACCGAGCGGGGCAAATAAGTGGCTTGAATCTTTTCACAGCCACTTAACCCCCCCGTGTATGCGCGGGCATTTTGAGGAAAATACCGATATATCGGTAACATTTTAACGTGGGGAGCATAAAATTTTACATCAGTTGCGTTACGGGGAGGCAAAAAAGGACGCTTCAACTGGGATTGTTGTCCTTAGGATTGAGAAATTAACGAAGGGGGATTACCCGTTTAGCACGGAGAGAAAAATTCAATAAAAATTACCAGAAAAAAACGTGAAAATTACGTTTCGAAACGTAATCCGCGAGCGAAGTAAAATTCAATAAAACGTGTGAGTCGGAACTGAAATTGTACGAACTGCCACGTAAATTCTACGATTTGTTCCGTCAAAATTAAACAGCCGTCTGATAACTCACCGCTGTGGGGACAACAAGTCGTTCCGTAATTTTCCCCAACGATTGAGAAATTTTACGGAACGGAACGTAGAAATAACTCACCAGCTTCATAAAAATTGTTGAGCGTTCAAGAATTTTTTATTTTCGAGGCATAATAAGTCGGCAAGTTTCTGTAAGATTTTACTTCTTCGGGAAAAATTACGTGACAATTTCTGACTTTGTTCGGTGATGAACCTGAAAAGGGAAATTGTTCCATAATTTTATACTGAATATTTCTCTCCGTACAAGTAGTGATTTTGATTAATTTAAAATAGATGAAATTATCTATCCGTTCTTTTCTTCAGACAAGTAACGATCGATGAGGTATTTAATTCTATCCGATGCGTATTTGATGATGAAAGATACTTATTTTACTATTGACTTTGGACTAAGAATTTTTTTTTATCCACTAGATCGTCAAAAACGATGTCGAACCCAAGAATAATCTCCTTTCTCCATGAATACCAAATCTTAACAATCGACATTACCTTGTTGTCCTCTGCAATCAGCCCAAAATCTAGCCCACGCACGTCCATCGGACACTACAATCTTCATCGTCGAATTCTTTGATTTTCAATAATTCATAAATTTAACCGGCCATTAATCTCGACTAAACCTCAATAAACCTCGAACAATTGACCATGAAAAACGAGGAAACAAATCTTCAGAGCAGTCATCATCTTGCAGGCGTTGAGCAATCTCCATTGCCAATCTTCATTGATGTCACTCCTCATCACTGCGTCTCCGTATCAAAAACCAATGAAGGCGAAAAAGAAATTTACTCTATCGTACAAATATCGTGAACAAATGTTGGCACTATGAATTCTGCAGCGAAAATATCAAACTTCCAAGTAAAAAATTAACTGTACGAAATCAATAACAAATTCGATTGATAAAATGGAGGTTCACTATATGACCATTGTGGAGAATGTCAAATTGACGCGAAATGTATCCACCGCTACGGAGGGGAAAAAGAAAATAAATCATGAGACATGGGGAAAATGTCTCGACGTCTGTCAGTGTCACCGTCTTCTGCCAAGTATAGCTTCAACGATCAACTCATAGTTCGAGCATAGGATAATTGTATATTGGAACTATCGTATCCAAATGGGGGAGAACGAAGATGGGGACACTAACAGACGAAGAAAGTACAATCTTATTATTCATAATCGAATGTTATTTTATAGGCGAAAAAAGTCACCAAAATTCGTTTCATAATCACTGAAAAATTATCTGACTCTTGGCACATGTGGTAGCGGAGTACAATGGAGCCTTTAGCGCGGAAAAAAATATACTTGAATCGAGTATACTTCACACTCAATTGGGGGATGGGTATTTCAATTCGAAGATGATTCTTAGTATCAGGCCGCGTTGTAGCAAGCCCTCTTAAGTGTAATATAAGGGTCAGGCACTGAGTGTCAGAATATAAGGGTCAAAAAGTGGAGGTTTAAAAAATGAGGGTCAGAATATTCGGGTGAAAACATTAGGGTCAGAATATAAAAGTAAAAAAAAAGTGGGTGTCAGGCAATGAGGGTCTAAATATAAGTCATATATTATGCTTGATCACCGTTTTTAGCCCTTATATGACCCTCATTGCCTGACCCTAATTTTTTGATCCTAATATTCTGAGCCTCATTTTTTAACCCTAACATTCTGACCCTCATTCCTTCACCTTTACATTCAGGCCCTCAGTTTTTCACTCTAATATTCCGACCCTCATTTTTTAACCTACACTTTTTGACCCTTACATTCTCACACTTAGGGTCTGACCCTTATATTACACTTGAGAGCGCTTGGTGCAACCCGGGCTGATACGAAATTAATCATCCTCGAATTGAAATACCCATCCCCCATTCGAGTATAGAATAAACTTGAATCAAGTATATTTTATTCTTGATTCAGGGTTATGCAAACTGGCGTAGGCTTCATTGATGTCTGGTCTCCATTTCTCCGCAGAGCACATGGCCCGTTCAATTGATATTGAAAAAATGGCGGAGTTAGAATGGATTTATCGAAGCGTTACCTTCCTCTATGCGTCTTCGTGCTTCGTCGAGATCCGCCTTGGCGTCCTTAAGTATGACGTACATCAGCGGTAATATTTCCCACGAATACCAAAACTGCTCGAGTAGCTTGGCACTGTACTCTAGCAGTACTTCCACATTTTCACCTGGAAAATAAAAGTCAATCACTGAATTAGTATTTTATTAGTAACACTAGTTACTTTTCTATTAATTGAAAATTCCAAAGTATATTTACGAGATTTTTCCTCATTTCTAGCCATTTTTAGGGAATGATTAAACTGAAATTTACAGTTATCATTGATTTTTGCACGAAATACTGAATTTTGAATCACGAAATACCTTGAAATTTCAATCAAAACTGGAATATCGATAACATAAATTTATATAAACTACGCAGAATTTTCATTCAAAAGAATGAATTCCACAGAATCAAACTGAATTTTCCATAATTATAAACGCGTGATTACTCCGAGCGAAGTAAAATTCAATAAAAAGTGTAAGTCGGAACTGAAATTCTACGAATCACCACGTAAATTCTACGATTTGTTCCGTAAAAAATAACCAGCCGTCTGATGACTCACCGCTGTGGGGACATCAAGTCGTTTCATAATTTTTCCCCGACGATTGAGAAATTTTACGGAACGGAACGTAGAAATAACTCAGCAGCTTCATAAAAATTCAAGAATTTTTTATTTTCGCGGCATAATAAGTCGGCAAGTTTCTGTAAGATTTTACTTCTTCGGGAAAAATGACGTGACAATTTCGTACTTTGTTCGGTGATGAGCCTGAAAATTCACTGAACGTTTCAGATTTCTTCTCTCCTATTCCTATAAAAATTGCTGGAAAACGATTCCCCATTGCGGATTACGTGAACTGTTCGGTAATTTTTACTGAATATTTATCTCCGTGCACATTGTTCAACTTCAAATGAATAAAATACACATCGCATTCAACAATCTAGTTACGAGAATAGTTATTCAGCCCCCCCCCCCCCCCCNTCAACAATCTAGTTACGAGAATAGTTATTCAGCCCCCCCCCCATAAATGACTTCAATGTGCGACACTGTGATAACTATTGATTTGAGGATGACAAGTGAAAATGGCACAAACTGTGAACCACCCCCTCGTATAGGACAACAGTTTCCATTCCACAACGGCATGATATATTAGACATTACGCTAACCAATGCCGTTGCATAGGGTTGTCGCGACTCCGCCCACAAAAAGCCTCCAGACCGTTTTTGGTACGTGAATGGTATTCTCAACTAGGCAGAGACCACTGCAGGTGGCACAGGCGCATCGAGAAGCCGAACGCGATCCACTTTCATGCCCAATAATACATTAATTATTGATCGTTAATTTTAAAAGCCTTCGAAATTATCCTAGTCCTCTGTAATTTTGAATCCATTGAAAAGTACGGAATTATGTCTCGTCATTTGGCCACACTGTTATAAAACAATTGAAACTTCATGGACAATTGACTCGTAATTGTCAGGAGAGGAACATTGTATTCAATTTAGAGGTAAAAATCGTGGAGTGTTGGATTTTAGTGAAAACAGAGTGAAATTTCTTTTTTTAAAGGAGCAAAAAAATTTAATTTTCAATGAAAAAATTTCTAGAAATCAAGAAACTGTAAAATTTGTCCTGCATGCCATCCAAAATTATCCCGGCGAACGTGAAAGATCGCTCAATATTGCGTATAATTTTTCTGTAACGGATAATGATTTTTTAATTTAAGGATATCCGAGTATCTTTTACGGTTTGGTACGGGCCATCTCAAACACTGAGAGAAAAACGAACAGGTTCTCAAACAAGTCCTGTTTGGGCCAACAACACCGGTAGTTGAAAATTACCAGAAAAATAATTTTTCGAATCGAATATGAAAGACTCAAACATAAATAATCGCTCTGTTTTCAACAACGAAATATTTGGCTCAAGAGGCGGATCATTCATACAGAAGTTCCATTTCTTGCTTGCGCAGAGAATAATTTTTTTTTGAAAAGACTAAATCGATTTTTGCTGTAAAAATTTTCAATCTCGACGCATGTTTCGCATGTTTGGCACGAAAATATCCTTTTAATAATTTTTAACAAACGATTTTTCCGGCACAAGTCACCATTTTCAATAATTAAATTTGTCGATTAAATTGCTTGAGAAAAATTGGAAAAAAATCGGAAACGTTATTTTTTCAAAATTCTGAATATGAATAAATTGATTACAAATCCGAACACATGATTTTTATAGTGTAAAATTGATTATTTATAAATTATTAATGAAAAATGCTCATAATTTTCAAAAATTGCAATTTCTAATCATTTCATCAATCTTCCCCCAATAATAAACTTTCTAATTTTTTTCAGATGTTTAAAATATTTTCTAACGCTTCAATATCGCGACTCAAATTGCACTCTGCAAAGTCTAAACAATAACGGTAAAATGTCCGGAAAATTACGGTCAAATGGGGCTCAACTAAAGGTTCCGATATTCGCGAAGAAAAGTAGAAAAGCATTTCACCGAAGAAAAAATATCCAAAGCGCTTGGATATCAACCCGTTTCTTCCATCAATGACATACGAAGAAAATGATTCCGCTTCAATAGCATCGACAACGATGACACTTTATTTTCGAAATCATACCGCTTTCTACTGCCCCCGAATCATTATTATTCGACGCACTACTGATATCGCACTCTGCTCGAGGGAAATGACATCTCATTTCGCATGATCAGCATTATTTGCAACATTGCATTGCGCAACATCTTCATTCCCCGGTTTCCGTATAGAAAAAAAACTGACGACTCCTTTCTTTGCGAATTGACAACAGCTGTACACTCGCAAGATAGTATTAAATTCTGTGAACATTTGTCGGAATAATGCACATCCGTGCATTCGATTGTCCGTTATCAAGTGACTTGAGAACATTATGGGAATACGAGAACGGCTGTCTTCCACTTTCCATAGTGCTGAATGAAGATATTTGATCGTGCTCCATTTGACATTGATTCTCGGAGTTGAGATGATAATGTACAGTCATTTTTTATATCACTGGGTATCGTATGTCATCGTGGTATGAATGAGTGTCGTACAGGAATCATGCCATTTGGATAATCGAATGTTTATTATGACTGATAGAATCGTCAACTCGTTTCCTCTCTGATGATACGTGGCAAGTTGACACAATACGCTTCTTGTTCACATCCGACTACAACCGGACTGCGGTGTGATGCAACAAGAACGAACACAGCAAAAGAACTGGATATGATGCAGTTTGTCACGAACTGCCGTCAGTGACAATATGTCAACCTGAATTTTCCGGATTTCTGGTGATTTTCGTGGAGTAATGGAGGTGAAATGGAGTTTTCGGTGATTCCTCCAGAAAATTTGGAATTTTCAACGACGAACTTCGGCGTGGGGAGAGGGATATTGAATTCGATTTGAGGAAAAAATCAGAAATTTTTAGATCGCAGTAAAAATTTAATGGAATTGATCATTTTTGAGACAGGAAAACGAGAATTCCTCAACTTGTTTGAATTTTGAGTTAAAACATGAATATTCGGTAACAAATTATGGGGAGTACTCAATTAATTGAAAATTCAAGAAATATTTATTTATATTTTTCTGATTTAAACTAATTTTGAAGGAATAATTCAAGCGAAATTTAATATTTTCATTGATTTTTCTGCATGACTGCTTAAAATTTCAACTGTCAAGTGGAAAGAAATGGAAATTTCATGGACAGTTAACGAGAAATTTTCAGGAGAGTGATATTGAATTCGATCTAAAGGGAAAAAATAATAAAATTCCAGATTTCACTAGAAATTTAATGGAATTGATCATTTTTAAGACAGGAAAACGAGAATTCCTCAAGTTGTTTGAATTTTGAGTTAAAACATGAATATTCGGTAACAAATTATGGGGAGTACTCAATTAATTGAAAATTCAAGAAATATTTATTTATATTTTTCTGATTTAAACTAATTTTGAAGGAATAATTCAAGCGAAATTTAATATTTTCATTGATTTTTCTGCATGACTGCTTAAAATTTCAACTGTCAAGTGGAAAGAAATGGAAATTTCATGGACAGTTAACGAGAAATTTTCAGGAGAGTGATATTGAATTCGATCTAAAGGGAAAAAATAATAAAATTCCAGATTTCACTAGAAATTTAATGGAATTGATCATTTTTAAGACAGGAAAACGAGAATTCCTCAAGTTGTTTGAATTTTGAGTTAAAACATGAATATTCGGTAACAAATTATGGGGAGTACTCAATTAATTGAAAATTCAAGAAATATTTATTTATATTTTTCTGATTTAAACTAATTTTGAAGGAATAATTCAAGCGAAATTTAATATTTTCATTGATTTTTCTGCATGACTGCTTAAAATTTTAACTGTCAAGTCAGAAGAAATGGAAATTTCATGGACAGTTAACGAGAAATTTTCAGGAGAGTGATATTGAATTCGATCTAAAGGGAAAAAATAATAAAATTCCAGATTTCCCTAGAAATTTAATGGAATTGATCATTTTCAAGAGACAGGAAAACAAGAATTCCTCAATTTATTGCATTGCGGAGTGCAATGTGGTTGTAAGAAATTTTACGGAACTGTCACGTAATTTTTACCTGAATCTCCATTTTTACCTGAGTCTCCATCGTAAAAAATTACGACGCCGTTACTCAAATTTTCTGAGTCGATCCCGTAATCGATGAGCGAACTGTGAGTTCCGTAATTTGTATTGACCATTTCTCTCCCTGCAGTAAAAAAAATCAATGTTTCCAAAAAAAGAACTCGAATTTTTTCCACTTAACTCATTTTACCCCGCAAGTAGATCCATTCGCCCTGCCGAAACATTCTCAACGGGCAATGCACTTTATTTTCGCTTCTGCATACTCTCACGCAACATTTCCCGCGTAAAAACCTCAAAAGAGAGTTTATCAATCACCTGGAGGAATGGCTGAGCCCAACGTCTCAACACAAACATCGCGGGCATATCAGGATAGCACATCGTCAAGCTGAAACATTCATGGAGAGTAGAAATCAGTAGCGAAGCGGTAAACCGGGTGAAGTCAATTTTTACTATTGGCTAGTTTTTGACGAATATCTCGGAATCTAAAAGAGATAGAAAGATATTTGTCATGACCTTTT